CCCCCCCCCCCCCCGGGCCCACGGCCCGTGAGAAGGTCACTAGAAGGGTTCCAGGTGAACAGTGTTTAGATGTGGGGCAGTTGCCCCAAAGGGCCTTGGTTGCCACTGTGCCTTTGTGGCTGTGTGATCACAAGGACCGCGTGGAATGTTCGAAGGTCTAGATAGTCTAGTAACAGCCGCACATTTCTTGGCCTCACGATCATGAGACCGTTTGGCCATTATCGCCACACAGAAAGGCCTGGGCAGCCTGGAGCAACTGGCCAGCTGATAGTTCCGGCTGAGCCTGTCCACATGCCAAATGCACCTGGTAATATTGGTTGATCGTTGGGAAAAGGCCTGAGGGCCATGATGGGGTGGAAATCCGGTAGTACTGGATGAATTTGGATTACGTTTGGTCTGGATTTGCCTAGTACTACCGGGCCTTCAAGAAGGGAGAGGCCCAAAGGGCCGGGAATGTTAACCTGCGGTGGAATTATCGAAGCCGCTCTGAAAAGTCCGCAGGCCCATCCACCATCACAAACTCATCAGTTGTGGCCTTGTCCTGGGCCTCAAGTTTACGGATGATGGTGGAAGCTTCCACCAAGGATCGAGTTACATTGACCGATAAGCCAAACTTTGTAATCAGCGCACCCAGTTAGTCTGCCCTACGTGACAGTGCATCAGCAACCTTGTTAAACTCTCCTTTCACGTAATCTAGCTTGAAGTCATTCTGATCTATGACTTCAATGCAGCGTTTGAGTGCGTCAGAGAGAACAGGTTGTGTTTTGATCCACTGGAGTGTCTGATGGTCAGTCCTCAAAAGAACCATCCCAACAGGTAGTGCCTCCAGTGGATAAGTGCCTTGTAGAGGGTGTAGAGTTCCCTTTCATAGGTGGACTTTGCCAATCGTGGATGGCATCTTCTTGCTCATGTACTCGACCGGCCTTAACGTTTTCCCTTCCTGCTAAGCCGTTACTGCCCCGATGCCATATTGGCTCGGGTTAGTGGTCACAACAAATGGCCTTTGAGGATAGGGAACCATGAGAACCTCATGATGTGTAAGGACATACTTCAATCTTTTGAAAGCTGCCTCACATGCGTCTGTCCATTCCCATAGATTGTCAAGGTGTGTTAGATCAGTTAAGGGAGATGCGATTGCACTACAGTTTTGTACAAAATTGCGGTAATCATCACACACCCCCACGAAAGATCTGACCTCAGTCACAAAATGGGCTCGTGGCCAGTGTTTAATGCTAGCCACCTTCACATCTTCAAGCCTAATCCCTTCCGCGGATACCTCATGACCCAAGTACAAGATTTTAGTGTGACCATCTAGCATTTCTCTAAATTTATCGTATACTTGTGTTGCCGGAGGAGAGCAATAACTTTGTCTACATGTTGAGCATGCTCCTCCACACTCCTACTGAAGATAAAAATGTTGTCAAGGTACACAACGATAAACTTATCCAAGTAGTCATGAAAGATCCTATTCATGGCATGTTGGAATGTACCCGGCACATTGCAAAGGCCGAAGGGCAGCACCACAAACTCGTACAGACCGTACCTGGTCTGAAATGCGTTTTTGTGCCGATCTTCTGATCTAATGCCAATCTCATGGTAGCCGGATTTCAAGTCTATTTTGGTAAAGTACTTACATCCCTGCACCCTACCCAATAGGTCATCGATGCACGGTAGGGGCTATGAGTTCTTAACGGTAATGGCATTGAGGCCCCTATAATCAATGCACATCCTTAATGATCCCCCCTTCTTCGGTACGAATAGAACCGGGGAGCCGAAGGAGGAGATGCTAGGCCGTATCCAACCCTTTTCTGTGAGCTCTTTCAGTTGCCGACGGAGCTCGTCCAACTTGGCCAGAGCCATCCTATATATTCTCCCTTTGGGTATCTTGCTCCCAGGGATGATCTCTATGGCATGGACAACCTCCATGTGTACGAAACTGTAGGCTCCTCAAAGAGATCGGGGTACTTAGCGACGACACTTTCTATCTCTGGGGGTGATTTAACGACCTCCCCTTTCTGAGAGACAAAAACCAGATACATACCCTCCTCTTGGTTCTGTTTATAATAATTATAGAAGGCCAATGTGCACAAACACCCATAGGAGTCAATTAACCTACTAGCCCTATACTTGGCTAGTCTAATCGTCCTCCCATTAGGCAACTCATGCTTCAACACTTTCTTGTCGAACTAGGGCTTTGCAACCTCGAGGTAGTACATTCCTAACAACATGTCAAACGGTAGGTCGTTACTAGCCAGGAACGAAATCCTATGATTAAGTTCCCCTCCTATATAGGAGAAAGTGCAGACTACATCCTTGACGTAGTCCTCCACCAACATATGCGCTCTTTGTTGGCCATAATAGATGCTACCGGTCTACTCAGGCGCTGCACCCGGTCCTGTAGGCGTAGTCTCTCAACGCAGTCGCGACTTATGAAATTTCGTGTGGAGCCGATGTCTATGAAGGCACCGCACTTGCGATCACCTACACCAGCCTCCACAACGAAGTGCTCCCCTGTAGGACCTCGACTTAGTGCCAGCCAAGACTCAAGAGGGTCCCTTGCCGACCACTCACTTTGTAGGTCCTCTAAGGCCGCAAACACATCCAACGAATAGAGTATCGTTGGGTCAGGATGTGTCTTCGGGGTGACTAAGGAGTCGAGAGCTTCGGCCAACGTTTGAAATGGGGAGGGTACATCACCTGCTTCAACACGAGTAGAAGCAGCTACTTCTACTGGCCCTATGTGTTTTTCGAGCCAGAACTCGTAGAGGCACCACTCTGGGAAGAAGCAAACCCACCTTTTGGTGGTATCTTTTGCGACACCTTCGCGTTCTTGCATTTGAACTGCTGATGGTCATACTGGTCGCAGTTAATGCAAGCATCCCACATGTAACGACCTTGCCACACATCCTGATCCAAGCCCGCACAAACCCAAGCCGCTATCTTGTTCGGGTTGGGGGTTTGCCCTTGACTCGTCTGTTGAACGCCCTCGCCGCGGCCACCTGCCTTTCCTTTTACTACTGCAGTGAGGTTGCTACCCTCAACACTATCCTCGTTGTCAAACTTTGTAGGTCCACAATATCCGACTCATCATCAATCTCAGTTTGATTCCCTCTTAAGCTCACCCAAGATTGCAAGTACAGGCCCTTCAGGGCTGGTCCGGTTGGCCCAACGGTCCACCAAAAACTGCGCCAACAATTTACGGGGGTCCACCAGGCACTGGAAAATTGCCTGGGGACCCAAATTTTTTTTTTCGAATTTTCTCAAAATGGGGCCCAACTGGACACCTCAAACCGGACACGGGATCCGGACATCCAGACCGGACTGTTTGGATTCCAATCCGGACGTCCCGTTGACAACCATGGTTTCACATCATATCCTAATCAAACACCATGCCCTTTCTAGTAGGGAAGGCCGCGGCCTTGGGGGTTTTGTCCCCTCCCTGGCAACGGTGCCAATTTTGTGAGAAGAACCAGGGTAGGGAAACCAACTTTTTGCTGAAGCCAAGGGCTACAGCGTCTGTCACTTGCCGCGCCCAGTAGGTTGTCTGTCTGCTTTGCCTGTCACATCCCTGCTCAAGGTTAGAGTCTAAGGTCCCCCTTTTTCAAGCACTGAGGTAGGATGAGAGTTGCAAGGAAAATAAGCAACAGCGAGATGACAATTCCAGATTACACCATCACATTGAAAGCCAGATAGTCACACCGTGTCCAGAGAACAACATTGCACCAATAATACACCAATGGAGGTTCATAGTACTGAAAACCAATGTCACGAAGAGCATACTCTCTCCTCATCCACACAAGAGTCCAGTCCCTTCACACTCCTACTTGGCGCTCAGCGCCCAACCTACTGCTAGCACAACTGCTACAGCCTACTAATTGACAATGCAACTGCTGACATCAGCAGCAACCCGAAGTACTTGAAGATGTTGCCCATGCAGACCATCGCCAACACAAGGTAAGTGCCCTCACATCATCGTCATCATCCTTCACCTATTCCCTGACTT